CCCACACCCACACCCCCTTATTAGCAACAGCAAAGACTGCCATTTAACTGGGAACCCAGCTTCATATTTATGCTAAGTCCTGCCTTTGGAACCCACTCCTATGGTCAGCATGAAAACTCAAGGAGCTAAGGGTAATGCTAACAACAGATAGTATAGTATAAAACTGGATAGTAGCTGCAAATGGACAGATCTTTTCCTTCCAAGATAAGGTTATCTGCTCAGCAGGATGCTGGGACCCATTGGCAGAAACAAATGCTGCAGTTTGACTTACTGTATCTCTAAATTACTGAGAGGATTTTCCCTTGTAAGATTTCTCTTTTTACACGCTGTGCACAAGTATTAAATCCCCATCATTTTCCATTGCATTCCACAATCTTTACAAGCACTTGGTGTCTCCTTCAAGGCACCCAGCATGTTGTGCTCTTCCTTTGTGATGGTGTCCCAACCAACCGGAATTACGGGCATGCAGCAAGGGGTAAGGAGAAAAGCACAAGTAGACAGGGCAGGAACTGGGCAAAACAAAGAATGACAGATGGCTGAGGGCAGCAAAGCAGCCCCTGTGAGGAGCGATGAGAGCCTTGCTTCATGTTGTATACATAAAAATAGTGCTGCTGGCCAAGGCAGCGAGTCATAGGAAAAGCTGGAGCTGAGGGGGACAGAGGGAGCAGCCAGTCCCCAGCTGGGCCAGCAGCACTGAGGACTGCCAGGCATGGCCGGGCTCATCAGACAGCACATGGGTGGAGGCCCACAAGCCACTGAAAACTACAGCTAGATTTTGCCAACACATTTGACTAATCTGGAGCACGTTCCCAGCTCTGCTTCACCACAGTGCTGCTTTGCATGTAGGTATTAACCACATTCGGGAACAGCTCTACAACCCTCTGGGCACTGCCACAAAAACTGACAGGAGAAGATGGGGTAACAGTGAGATGTCCTCACCCCTTCTTCCCAGTTTTTTTAGCTGCCATACTTTCTCCACAGCAAAGTTCAACTTTTGCTTACATTATGGAAGTTGTCCCACTATCCTTGCTTCCCAAGTGAACATGGAGAACAATCCTTTCTCATTTCCATAATCAATCCATTCTCACCTCTGTGCTGCCTTCCAGTCTCCGCCATTCCACCCAATCTTAATGCTGTTGGGGAGAAAATGAAATTCCAACACTCATGCAGTACAAGTAATTGTAAAACATTGAGGGCAATGCTTTTTCCCTTCACATCATGCTATTACTCAAAAAGTGGCCCAGTTATCCTGGTTTTAAATCTCCTTGGAAAAGTCTGAAATACTTAAGTGGCAAACTAATGTTCAGCATAAAGATCCAAAAGGGAGATATTCTGCTCTCTGAGGGAGACTGCACATTTCCCTTCCAACCTCGGCCTCAGTTAAGAATTACAATAATGACAGATGAGCTCCTCCAAAAGAGGCTTTCCTTTCTTTGACTTCAGTGGTCAATATTCCAGAGTTTTACGCAACATTTTAATCTCATGTCTTTCAACTCTATATTCTCCTGCTATGTTGCTTATGAAAATGGCATTAATAGAAACAGAAAATCTGTTAAGCAGGGTAAGTGCTGTATTACATGTGAGAGCAAAACAAGCAGCCCCTGGCACTGAGCACCAAAAGGATTCCATTAAACAGAAGGAATACACTCTTCCAACTGGCACAGTATCGTTGCACTTTGTTGACAGTATATAGTATAATGATTATCTACAGCTGGGATGGGAAAGTATAAATCACATTAATTTTTAAAAATATACTTAGCTATGCAGACCACAGGAATACACAACACTCAAAAATTGATTATGGCTATGGGATTTTATTTCTTTTTCTTTAAGTGATAATTAGATATAGGAACTAAGAGCAACTCCCACATCTTCATTAGCAACTTCTTCAGATCATCCAAACTACAGAATGTGCTTTAAATAAATTTGAATAAACACACTTGGCTGACAGTCATCTCACAGAAAAAAGTATCTTTAATTTAAATAAATCTTTAACATTCACTCTTTTGCGACATGCCAATCTACTTGTTGCTTTGATTAAAGAGTCATTTTTAGTTTCACTAGATGAACATTATTAAGGAGATTCTTCCCAAGAATACTGAATAATAAGAATATTTGATCAAGAAAGAAAACTCCTTGATAAAGTTATTAGCTCCAGATTAATTTCTTTGTGCAAGTGACAGAGACTTACAGGATACTGATAATGACTGGGAAAGCAGTCTATAGGAACCATGCACATTTATCTTTCATCAATCACAGTCTTATCTTTTATATATTAAAAAGAAACTCAGAAAGTGATAGCACAGACAGCTTTCTGACATTTAAATTTCTTGTGTTTTCTTCACCCTCCTTTTTCTTTACCCATTAATATAACCCAACTGTATTAGTCAGCAACTTCTGTTACACAGCATATTGTCTGCACAGAACTTAGGGCATGGGATTACAAACCCAGAACATTCATTCACAGAAGAAACTAAATTCACCATTATGTACATTTGAAACAGATTTGACAGAACAGTACTAAAAGTATGGATGTGCATTAGCAATAGACTTCTCATATTTGAATTCTGTTTTCATAATTTAGCTTGTTTTTCATATCTAAAATTACTATCTAGGCAAATCCTAATCTTTCTTAAAAACATCCCAGTAAAAATAATCCAGGATCCCAAACAAAGACAACATATATGTTTACAAAGCAAGCATTTTCAAAAATGATCAAGTAATTTGTATTTTCATAAAGAAGTAGCACAGCTTTCCCTTGCCTACAGTGTAAATATGCAGACACTTTTTTTGATCATGTATTTTCAAAAACAAGGTGAGCAAAATGGCAGTGTGTGGTAAGAGTCATCTTTCTTGCCAATAAGGCAAACAACAGGATTAATTAATATTAAGGAAGGTGGGGGAGGAAAATTAAGAGAGGCAGGGCTGTCAAGAAACTGTCACCACGATAGCTGGTTAGAAAACAAGTCCTACTCTGAAAAACCCTGAAGTTTTGGAAATCTAATTTTTCTTCTCATCAAGGTGAACCATCCACCCCTAAACTGAAGAGCCCACTGGTTAAGGCACAACCCTATTCATCAGCCCAATGATACAGGCAGTACAGAAGGTGTCTCTCAGTCTCTCTCTCAAAATATTAGATAGATCCAACATTCCTTGAAGTTGATAATTAGAGACCAGCATGAACAGCCTACAGTCAGGGACAACAAGGACTTTCTCTCACTCAAGAAAAGCATCCTGACTTACCAGGAGAGCAAAACATGACCTAACTTATTATGACCTTGGCTATAGACTAGTTGTGTATCTTTGGTTTATGGAATAAAGTGTGTGTGAGTGTGTCTGCAGTGTTTATTTTGCTTTTTTTTTTTTTCTAACTAGCCAAACATTTTATGAGCTTCTGTCACAGGTGAGGGTTTCTCCACAGCAGGTTACCACAAGCTATTGGCAATGTCTCCTGCTGCATATTTCTGTCATTTGATTTGAGGGAAACAAACCAAGGAAAGTTTGTCTTTAACAGGAATTATTTCTGTGAAAAGTTTTGATGTATCAGCAATTTCCAGTAAAAGAAACCCAAAACATTTTCTCAGAAAATTCCTAAGCAGCTCTAGTCATCACTTTTCAGAGAATCTGCATGTCCAAAAAATGGAAATTCCAATGTACATGGAAAAGGAGTTCAGGAAAGTATAGTATCATGGTGTCTGTATCTGTGTGTCACCTGCTAAAGAATGCCTGTGAAAACACTATCCTCAGTGACCAGACTGAGCACAGAAGCTGTAATGAGATTGTTCAGCATCCTACAGAACTACACTCTTCATTGCAGGGGGAGGAAAACAACAGGTTTTACTGCACATTATGCTACCAGTCTGTTTTTGACTTGCCTACTCAGATCACAAAATATTCCACTTTGAAATTCCATTTCAAAATATTTATTTTTTTAACTAGAAAACAGTTATGTCTTGGAAGCCATCAGCATTCCTTGCCATACTGTGCCTGATGCCCTCAGATATTGCCCCAGAAGCCAGGCGCCACAGTTCCCTGCCCTTGCTTTGCCCACTCCTGGCAGATTCTTTCCCTGAATTGTGCCTGTCCTTTGTTTCTGTCTGTGCAAAGGTCTGACCCTAACAATGTTGCCGGAAGGAAGGAAAGGTTTGTAGAAACCTTTACAAACTTTTTTGCTTAAACGTCTTCCCAGAGGGCCAATAGAAAGCACAGAGTTGGCTCATCAGATAACCAGTCCAGGGGGGACACTTCAGGAAAGAAATTCAGCTAAAGAGCATCCAGCACTTGATTACTTATTGTTTGTTTCTTGCCCCCCCCCCCCCCCCCCCCCCCCCCCCCGGATTTCAGCGGGAACATCTAATGAAATTATAAGTATTTCAGTCTGGAAATAGCACGTTCACGCTGTTGAACTTCAGCAAGGCCATTCCCGTTCAGCAATGCACTATCCCGTGCTTTGGGTATTCCTTGTCAACTTCTGTTACTTAACATTTATTCTACCGCTGGAAATCAAGGATACACGGTCGCGTCCTGACAACGGCCGGGCGCACCTGGGCAATGATGAGATTCTCTCTCCCCTCTCTCCCGGTTCCAGCTCTGCCCGTCCTGAGCCAGCCCCTCGCCCCGCTGACGCGCGGGGCCGGCGGCAGCGGCGGCGGCGGCCCCGGCGCGGGACGCGCCTCCCGCGGGGCTGCGCCCCGGAGCGCGGCTCGGCCCGGCCGCCTCACGCCGCGCCGGGCTCCGCGGGCACTGCCAGCCCGCCGGCCCGCAGGGTGAGGCGCTGCCAGCGCCACCGACACCTGCGGGCTGCGATCTGCGGGCAGCGACCTGCGGGCAGCGACCTGCGGGCAGCGACCTGAGGGCACAGACCTGCGGGCTGCGACCTGAGGGAAGCGCCCGGCGCGCCGCCCCAGCGCCCTCCCGGCCGCGGCGGAGCGGGGGAGAGGGTTCGTGCTGCGGCTGCGAGGCGGAGCGGGGGTCGCTAGCGAAGTGATAGAAGAACTGACCTGCCGCGGGGATGGCGGTGGGCAGCAGCAGCAGCTGGTGGAGCAGCAAGGCTGGCAGGAGGTGGGTGGCCCGCATGGTGCTGGCGGCCCCCCAGGAGAAGGGGAGATGGCTCCTCGGAGGGACCCCGTGCACCGCCGGTCACTCGAGGAGGCAGAGTGAGCCGAGGTTTTTATTGCGATGATCTAAGTTTGTTGTGTGATTAACTGGAAAGATCTGGGTCTCAACTCCCTCTTACGGTAAGAAACTGTTTAACAACATCCCCTCTCTGCCTCTTCTTCTCCACCCCTCCTCAGGAGCTGCCTCCCTTCCCTCCCACCCCTCAACCAGCCCAGGGAGAGGGTTTCCACCGCCTCATCCCTCCCTCCCTTCTTGCCTCCCTTCCCGCGCCTCTCTCTCCATCCCTCAGAAGCTCGGGAGGAGCAGCCGGGCCGGGTCTCTCAACTCTTGCCGCGGGGCTGGTGGCTCTGGTGGCTCCTGCGGCACGATGCACTCACCGCCCCCATTGCCACCTCACCTGCAGCCAGGACAGACCTCTCCTTCCCTGCAGACATGTCCCTTCACAACGTCCCACTTGCTGCACCTGCCCCTTGGCCTCATGGCCAGGCAGCACCTCCATCCACTGACATTTCACTGGGATTGTCCCACCACACGGACAATTCCTTACAGTGAGTAAGGAAACACCTTTCTTCTGACTTGCCCATGGCTGTCCCCCAGCCACCAGCCTGGCCTTTCCATCACTGTCTTTGGCCATCTGACAAATGTCACTTCCTCAAAATTGTGGCAGCTTTGGGGAATTTAAAGGTCAAGTATCAGCTGCTGGCGTTGCTCCACTGAGACAATCTTCAGTCCAAAGCAATGCCTGACCTTCCTTCTGTTGCAGGCAAAGTCACTGTAATTTTTCTATTGCACTTCATTTTAACCTCATGGAAGCAATGACATTGGGTTTTGTTTAAAGTCATGAGACCGGCCTTCGTGACACGCAAGTGTTCAAAAATAAACACTTGAGGAAAAGTTTTGCTGTAATTTAAACTGTTCCTTTCTCCCATGCATCCACCTACCATCTACGGCAGGAGTGTGTGACAACAGCGGAAACTGCTTCCATCCATTTTCCACAAAAAACCAGAGACCCACGTGTGGCCCCATGCCATGTGAGTCAGAAAAATGTGTCCCCAGCCTTGACTCCTTTGCCCATATTGATGATTAGCACCTATGAGTGAAGCAGGTTTTCTTTAAAACATAGGTTGTTTCCCAATCCACAAACAACTTTTAATCAAGTATTTCAAACACATATGAGTGGGACTTTTTATCCAGTTACTTTTGCCCAGTGGCAAAAGTTAAAATTTCCATTTCAGAATTACTGCCTTATGAAATGAAAGTAAGGTGACAAAAGCAAAAAGTTGAGAGACAGTCTGTTAAGAAAATATTTTGAACATTTGGTATTACAGGAAAAACACGTTTGTGGGAAAAAAATACTTTCTGTTGCAGAATGAGCATTATTTCTAGGGGTTTTAGTTGATTTTTTTTTGCTGTCCTCATTTTTCTCCCAAGAGCAAAAGTTAATTTTCAGGAATTTCTTGGAGATGTATTACCTGAGAAACAGGGAACATATATTCCACTTGCCAACAACCTTGTATAGAATCCTTGTCCACTGTAACTGATAAAACATGGATTTCTCAGGTTTTGTTTCTGGTTTTTTTCCCTGCCAAAGATAGACATAAGTATAAACAAAAAGCAACAAAAATAATCATATCACCATTCTGAGCCCAAAATAGCCACATTCTGTTAACCAGATGTATTTGACTTCTTGTCCTTGCATGTGCTGAGTGACATTTTTTGCAGAGGACAGAATCATGCACCATTAAATTCAAGTAGAATTGTTTACCACTGACTTCTCTGAGGGGAATATTTGGTCTGTATTCAGATCCCTCCTAAATTTTAGGAAGATTGCTTTTGTTTCTCTTGAGGTCTGGAATGCTCCTTAATGGAGGAAATATTCTGCTATATGGATTCCTATTATTAATACATAATCTTGTGGATTATTCATGATGTGTCTCAGTTCTGTAAGAGAGCTCACGTCCTGGTCTTAAGCTTCTTTAGCTGCATATACTGTGCTGGGCAGGTATAATAACTCCATAGTCCTGCTTCTCCATTTGTCCAGTTTTGGGAAGCTTCTTGAGGATGTCTCTGCCTTTTACATCGGCCATTATATATCTCCCTTCAAAGGAAGTCAGGGCACATGGACTAGAGGTCCAGGGACAGAAGGCACATTAGAAAAGGAAAGGTCCTACAGATTCTACATTCAGATGTTCTATTTGTAGGCAGTTAAGACTACGATTTGCATCTGAATTTGTGAAAGGAAAATGCTTTTTGGTGCCGCAGCATATAATGCAAAATGTAGCATGAGTCTTTTTCTGCGTCTTCTTGTCCCATATATTTTGCAATGGAAGCATAATATTTTATCAATTCAATCAAATTTTGTCTTCAAATGGATTTTCAATATGAAGGAAATTGTCAAAAATTTCATTTACACGAAATAAATTTTCACAAAGAATTCTGTGCTCAGTTTCAGCCTGCACATAAAGTAATTAAAAATGAAAATACAACATTCAAAAGTAGTAGGTTTTATGCAAGAATATTATGTTTTCTGACCCTTTGAGGGCATGTTTTTTGACCTATAAATCTCTTTCTCTATTTCTGCTTTTGGGGCTTATCTGAGAATGGGGATTTTTGGGTTGTTGGGTTTTTTGATGTTTTTTTTCTAATTTTTTTTGGCAGCTCTGCAAACTTGCTCTGATAACCTGGCTTTCAAATCAGTGTAGCTCTGTATTAGTAAAGTAGCAAAACATTTCTGTAGAAGTTATCTAAAAAGAAAAGAGTTACTTGCACACTTTACCAAAGATGTATTTGCTCTGGACTGCCTACATGAGTGAAAAATTTCAAAAAAATTTATTTTGGTTGGAAAAGTAAGCAGACATGACCAAACACATGGAAACTGCTATTTTTATATTCTCTTTTCTGACCATAACCACAGTTGAATCTGTTTTTCAGATGTAACTTGCTGTTCAGAAATGCTAGACATTCACAGTTTGGGCAGGAATCCTTACATGCATACAAAATAATATTAAGTCACAATTAGATTAAAAGAAGACTTTTCTAAATGAACCAGCATCTTTCATATGAAGCAACACTTTTGCTCAAAATATTTGTTTTTTACTTCTTGATTTATCTGGTATAGATAGGTATCACTGTGATAAAGTCCTAGCAGAGAATAAGACAAATAAGTAAGTGATTGCAGTAATTGCTCTTAAACACAGAGTTAATCAATTAAAAAGTCTCAGGCTGCCTGAGTAGTTTAAACTGAGCAATTGGGCTTCACATTTTAAGAAGTAGTAAGCTTTATTGCCTTTTTTTTTAAAATCTGACCTTGAGATTAGGAGCAGAAGAGGTTGTGGTATGGACCACAAGATTTGACACTGCTGGGAAAGCAGAGTTTAAGCAGAGTTACAGCACATGACAGGTGTCAGTACTTGCTGAGGCACCTCAGCCAGAGTCCAAGCTCTGGGAACACGTGATACTTTCCAAGATAATACCCATGCCTTCTTCCTGCAGAAAGAGAAAGGGAAATAAGGCGTGAAAACTGGGAGGAGGAGCAGGAAAAAGTGGATAACAAGATCCACAAATGGGAATTATTGTCTAGTTGAAAGCAAAGGCTCAGAGACTTCACGGTCTACTATTCTGGATTCGGTCCAAAGGACTTTGCATGTCATCACAGCAAATGTTGCAGATCTGACCTGCCAGTCCCAGCCGAGTGTGCAGGGCCCCGTGCAGTGGAGCAGGACAGCATGGCACCTCACAGGAGGCTTGGTGTTGATTCCCCACCAGGGAAACTCAAGAATGAAGAGGAGCATCAGAGTGACTTGGCTGGGCTTGGTTTCACCCATTTTAATTCACATATGTTCATAATATTCAATCATATATAATTTACAATTCTTCCTGCACCCAGAGTCCCAGGTGCTCAGCCCTGACTGCTAAACCTGAGCCAGGTAATCCAGCATTCATCCCTGCAGTCAGTTAATAGCATAAATCCTTTATGGTTTTCCTGTATGGGACATAAGGTAATTGCTTTTCTTATATTTGCTATATGCTAACTAAGAGAAGTTCAGATGCATAACAGAGCAATTTTTAAGTTCTTAAGTTCTTAAGCAATTTTTAAGTTTTTAAGTCATGTGAAAGTCATTTAAGTCATTTATGGAATGGTACCCAAAGGCAGCAGATGATAATGCAGCCCATCAGAAATTATTATTTCTAATATTTGGGAAGAGGAAAAAAAAAGAAAGAAAGAAAAATGCAATAATATATACAACACATTGTTATTAGTAGGAAATATTTTTAAAATTTTATCTGGATGAAATTTAAATATTTCCACACTTAAATGTTTTGTCTATGGAGATGTATGCAAAAAAATATTATTTTCATTAAAATTTCCTGTAATATTCATTTAAAGTTTTGTGAGATGTGCAGCAATGTGGTTATGTGGATTTTGAAACGCCAAAAAGCCCTCACTCAACTCAAAAGAATTTGTTCCTTGTATATAGTCAAAGTTTAGGTATATTGTGAAGAATGTTAAACTTTTGGTTTATATTTGTTTTTGTCCTCTGCTATTAATATTAATGCTATTAATGACTGCCAAGAAACTCTGAAAAGAATAAACATCACTGGTAGTACTGGTAAATAAATTCTCTTACTCAAGATCTAATTTGAACTGCAAACCCCTCACAATAGCTTTTTTTTTTTTTTAATGCAAGAATGTAAGAAAAAAATTAACCTCTCTGTGACCTCGGTCTGCTAGAATTAAGTTGTGGTACTGGCCTTTGGAAAAAAATCCAGAATCTGAATATGTTTGATATGAAGCAACAGCCCTAGAAACCCTTAATTTGCATGCCATAGTTAAAGTTATTTCTCTGTGATTTTTGATTCAGAAAGTCTTCATTGTTTGCATATTTAGTTAAAGTACAAATCTTGACCACAATCAAGGAAATCTAGATTTGTTTTTGTACTTTTTTTCCTTTATTGTAAAAAAGCTTGAAAATATCCACCTAAAATATTTAACCACTTAGAAAATCTCCAAGTCACATTGTCTTTAGAATTATATCTCTTTTAAATCAGTTTAATGATTTCAGTGTCTAAGGTAAGGTGTGTGTATATATGTCATTTGGATAGTATATTAAAGCTTTATATATACAAACAGTTCACC